CCCGGTTGGGGCACCAGTTCTGTCCTGGTTGCCCCTCTTCCAGTCCAGCTCTCTGTTGTGGCCTGGGAAGGCACTGGAGGATGGTCCAAGTGCCTGGGCCCTGCACCTGCATAGGAGACCAGGAGGAAGCTCCTGGCTCCTGGCTTTGGATGGACGCAGCACACCAGCCGTAGCGGCCATTTGGGGGGTGAACCAACAGAAGGAAGACCTTTCTGTCTCTCTCTCACTGTCTAACTCTGCCTGTCAAAAATAAATAAATAAATAAAGGCAATGGCACACTTTGAGGGAATGTTTGTGTGAACTGAGATCTCAGCAGTTACTCCCAAAGGTTAAAATACTTTCGGGGGAGCAAAAGGCCCATGTGAACCAAAAATCACTGAAAACATTGCAGGAATCAGAGCAAAACCTACATTTTCATTTCATGAAATTAAAATTTGATTTGTACTTAGACTTTTCAGAATTTGCCTCTCTCCACCACCTCCTTCTGATATGAAACAAAATAAAACAAAATGTGGAAAATTGCATAATTGAAAGCACTTCTCAAGCAAAATACAGATGATACAAATGTATGTTCCTGCTGGAACGTGAATCTCGTCCTCCATAATCAGCTATTGCCTTCTTCTTTCATCAGGCTCTGACCTTTAAGGTGCTCCTGTTGTGTGTGTTTTTAATGCCTAACTTTTCTAGAAAATGCGCAGAGGTCATAATGAGGCATAATTATGTACAGTCTATAATTTTCTTTGGCCTTTTTCAAGTGCTAATTTAGCTATCATTTCTTCCTATAGAATTTTTTTAAGAAATGTTTCTGAAAGTGAAAGTCCTTTCTTCGGTTTTGGCATGAATTAGTTTATGTTCAGTAAGTATTTTATATAGAAAGACAGGTAGCAATGTTTTATATACATATATACACACACACACATATAGATGGATATTAACTGAACATTATACAATAAACTCTTATTTACCTAGGTGGCAAGTGAGCTTTAAAAATAACTAATTTTCCCCTCCATACTTTGCAGTTGTCAATTTCCTTACTATGAAATGGATATTGCCAACTGTAGAGTATTGTCAGGGTTGAATTAAGTATGCAGAAGGCTTACACAGTGCCTAGCACACAGTAAGCACTCTAGTGAAAGTCACTTATTTTTTTTTTAATTTGACAGGTAGAGTTATAGACAGTGACAGAGAGACAGAGAGAAAGGTCTTCCTTCCATTGGTTCATTCCCTAGATGGCCGCTATGGCTGGTGCTGTGCCAGTCTGAAGCCAGGAGCCAGGTGCTTCCTTCTGGTCTCCCATGAGGGTGCAGGAGCCCAAACACTTGGGGCATCCTCCACTGCCCTCCCGGGCCACAGCAGAGAGCTGGACTGGAAGTGGAGCAACTGGGACTAGAACCTGGTGCCTGTATTGGATGCCGGCGCTGCAGGCGGAGGATTAACCAAGTGAGCCATGGGGCTGGCCTGAAAGTCACTTATTTTACTAGGATGTATATTTAGCTTCATTTAAAAAATAATATATAGAGTGAGATTCCTGAATTCCTACAACTTACCCAAATATTTTTATATAATTGGTCAACATGTAGTGATAATAATTCCTCAATGATTCAATTCTGTTTAAAAATATTTGATTGGCCAGAAAGTTACATATGAGTTAAATTATCCAATCCATAGGTTAATAAATTTAGTCTATTGTTCAATTAGTCTAAATCAGAATCTGTTGTATCTTTTCTTTTAAAAAGCTACCCTTTAAAGCATTGTCTCCCTCCTATAGAAAATGCCTCAATCTATAAATTATTAGTAATTGTACCATCTAAAAGTACGTTTACATATAGCTTGCATGGAGAGACATCATTAATAAGTTGAAAGCAGCTATGGAGAACGTTAGAATATGGATAGAAGTTTCTAGAAAATAGGCAAAAGACATGCGTACAAAAAATGGAATTGTTCCCTGGAAATTTAAGGAGTTGTCACTTTACAAAACCTTGCCGTAAGCATCCTGAGTCATTTGGGACTGGCAGGGATGAGAGCGCAGGTCTGAAGACGATTTGATTTGCACACCTTTTAATGACAAGATAAATTTCAGCAACTTGTCATTCTACATAAAGACACTTTAAAATAAATGAAACATATCTGCAAGCAAACACTCACACACAGAGGGAATTATTTGTTTTGAATTGCTGACTTAGTGTAAGCACCTTGATCAACTAATAGAACCAGACTAATTCTGTAAACCGTGGAGTATTTTTTATAAACCAGTGGTTAGGGAATATTGGGATTTAAAGAGGATCTTATGCATTTTTATGTTCCTAATGCTTTCAATCATTTTAAGTCCTTGAATAAATTTTGCTGAATAATATTTTGCTTTATGTCTGGAATGGCCCATTTGTTCATAGAGCCGCAATGTTTTTTAAATGGGAGGATAGGTGTATGGACAAATAAATGTCTTAATAATTTTGGCATAGTTTCTTATCAAATCATTTGCACTACATTAATAAAAATCCATTATCATATGTCTTCCCCATGTGAAAAAAAATACCAAATTACAGCTGGGGATTCTAATCAAACTCCCCCACACAAAATGGCTGAAGAAGTGGGAAAGAGGAATGGCACAGCCTACCAAGCTGATGAACATGGTGGCCAAATGGTAGAGACACAAAAATGCTTTTTATACCTGGAAAATCTTGCTGTTGCCTATCAGTCCACATTTAACAATGTGCCAAGTTCTCCGAGCCCAATCACCAGGACTATGTCGTTCAGTGTAAACGTAAGGCCGATGCTGTCGCATTTTACACTCACTTTTTCCTGAAGAACACTGTGGGTACTCACCAGAAAAGACCCGCTCTTCGTGGTGGTGGGTCACTGGGCAGTCCTTGCACGCACGGTGGGGTGGATTCTCCGGTTCCTTGGAAGCGCATTGCAGCTTGTGGAGACACCTCACTTCACACGAGAGAGTGTCTCAGGATTGTGGTTCTTAAGGATGGTATCACAAGGTTTGTAATCAATAATAAAGCAACAATGGGGTGGGCATTGTGGCACAGCAGGTTAGACCAACCACTTGGGACACCCACTTCCCAAATTGGAGTGCCTGGAATTGGGTCCTGCCTCTGCTTCCAATCCAGCTTCCTGCTAATGCGCACCCTGGGAGGCAGCAGGTGACAGCTCAGGGAATTCCTGGCTCCTGGCTTCAGCCTCACCCAGTTCTGGCTGTTACAGGCATTGGAGAAGTGAAGCAGAAGAGCAAAGATTCTTCTCTCTCCCTCCCTTCCCTCTTCAAATAAAATTTTATAAACAAGTGCCAAGATCTAGGAGTCATTTTTTGTTTACATATGAGTTAGACTGGCTTCAAAGAGTACTGTCACTCCCTTCAGCAGCGTTAGGATACCTGCCTGGAGTGGCAGAGACGGGGGCAGAGTATTTTCTGCACTGGAAATTGTTTCTTAACATATTTGACAAATGTCTGGAAGTGTCCCCTCTGCGGCCTGAGTATTCGTATCCCGCCCTCCCACCCCCAATTCACATAATGAAACTTAATCCCAAATGTGGTGATATTAAGAGGTGGGACCTTTGGAAGGCTGTTAAGTTGTAAGGGCAGATACCTTAAGGATGAGATGAGTGTGCTTCTGGAAGAGGCCCAAGGGAGTTTATGGATGCCCCTTCCACCGCGTGGAGAGGCAGCAAGCAGCAGCCATCGACGAAGCACAGCGAGAGCCCTCACCAGGGACTGCGTGGGACTTCCCAGCCGCCACGACTTTGAGCAATGCATTTCTGTTGCTTACAAATGACCCAGTCTAAGGTATTCTCTTACAGCAGTGGGAACGGATGAAAAACAGCCTCACACACGTGAACACCTTCCACGTTCTGTCTGTTGCATTGGAAAACAGACTGAGAAAACTGCTTTATGATTTCCGGCAAACACAGGGATAAGCAAGCTGAAAAATTCTGAGCTTTGGTGCGAGCCCATTAATCAAAAGTCAAGAGTGGTCTTAAGGCATCAGCCACCGCCGCCTTTGCTGAAGACGTCTTACCATTCCGGGCCTGACCCCCACACATCATTTTCTTATTTTACTCTGAAAATACAAATATGCAGAATGTCTCAAATTAAAGCGTCTTTGTTCTACGGAAGGTATGCGGTTGCTTTTAAAGAAGGAAGTGGCCAAAAACCTTTCTGGACTGCTCCTTTGCAGGGAGGTGGCAGGTCACGCTGACCCAGGTGAATTAAGGAAAAAAGTTAAAAAGGTCTTTTGCTTTTGAACATCTTCTGTTCAATGAGTGTCCACCTATGTGCACAGCAGGTGAGATAAATACGTATTTCCTCAGTAAATTCAGATTCTATGTATGACCAGCAGTCAAGAAATGAAGGGATACCATATACATTCTTTTGATCATGGTTTTCCTTTTTTTTTTTGGATTGAAAAATAAATTTGAAAAAAAAAAAAACAACCCTGTGAAGTGGTCTGGATTTAATTTCTTGGACCATTTTAGAAAAACATTTAGAGAAAGGATTCCAGTTTATTGGTGCATTGAAGTGAGTTTAGGTTGTGTCAATTTTGCTGATGGTTTTGATTGAACTAATTATTTAGTCTGTAATTGACTAACCCACTAAATCAATCAAAACCAGGCATTAACAGTTAGTGTACTAAATTTAAATCCTTAAACAAACTATGGATGTGGAACAATCTTCAAATGTGTCAAACAAAGCACACTTTATTTTTCTAAGGTAATGTGAAACAGAAATTGAGAGTGCAATAAAATATAGAAAGAGAAAACACAGCTATTGCAGGTGCAATGTTACATTGACTTTGAAAATATAAATCTATCTATGGAGAAGAAAATGATGTCAGAGTTTAACATACCACAGATCAGGGCTCAGAAATCTTTTTCTGTGATGGCCACATAATAAATATTTTAGACTTTGCAGGCCATGGGATTTCACTGCTACCACGTCACTCTGCAGTTATAACGTAAGAGCAGCCGTAGACAATATGTAAACAAATCTGTGTGACTGTGTTCAAATAAAACTTTATTCATGAACACCAAAATTTAAACTTCACGTAATTTTTCCCACGTCATGAAATATTCTTTTGAAGTATTCCAAATACTTAAACATGAAAAATGATTTTTAGTTCATTGGTCTAACCAAAATAGGCAGTGGGCTGGATTTGACCCAGGGGTCATAGCGTGCTGAGCCCTGCCTCAGACTAATGGAGCACGAGCTGTACAAATAAGCCATGAACTTCAAGAAATATCAGGAGGTTCCTAAGTCATGCACACTTCATTACAGAGCGGCTGTGGAGCACAACGTCCCTTGCATACTACAGCTGGCACGAGTCTACCCTGAGTTTAATAATGAGAAAGCAACTGGGCCCATCCGCATCGCATCATGGAACATTCTTTAAAAACAGCCTGGATTCTTCCAAAATGTCAGCGTCAAGAAAGACCACAGGAATAGAGAGAAAAAAAAGCCCAGGGAAAATGTTCAACATGAAAAGGACATGGAAACAATGAGAGAGGTAGGATCTCTGTTTGGGTTCTAGATTAAAATGAAAACTGCGAGAGGATACTTCAGGGCTGTTTGGAGAAATCTGAACGTGGCTCATCGTCAGACAACATTGTTTTCTCAATGTGACATTTCTGGAGTGTGAGGTTGGTATTGCAGACTTGTAGAAAAATGCTCTTGTCAGGTGATATACGCTGAAGTGTTTTTAAATGAAATATTGTACTGAATCATTTCAAATGGCTCAACCATGTAAAAAAGTATGTGTAGGGGGGTCAATTAAAGGTGGCAAAATTAATAAGCAATTAAAATGAATAAATGATGAGTATGCAAATGTTATTGTACTACTCTTTAAACTTATATAGATCTGAACTTAATCAAAATAAAATTGGGGAAAAAGATAACTAAATTTAGATGGGTCAAGTTACATTTGAAATATAACAATTATTTGGTACTTGAAAAATCACTTTAAAATTCTAAAATAATTCCAACTTCATTTGTAAATGAAAACAATTTGACTTATCAGAAATTGCTAGATCATTTCACTGCTTTAATTTTTCATCTAGTTTGTTCCATGAGTTATACAACAGGTAAAACTGAAGCAGGATGAATGATACAATTAAATCATCAAACTCAGAAAATCAGAAGTTATAAATTTAGATTGTTCTATTGTTGTATAAGAAGCATTTTTTTTTTCAGCTGATCAAAAATCTGAAACATACTTCTCCCCCGGAATTAAAACCAAGTCAGTTCTGATAGTCACCCTCAGACCATTCTGCATACTAGTTTACTCAGTGGGTTTTTGAAAACAGAGAAACTGGAGAAGAGCCAAAGTAAATGGGGTCATCATTTAATCTGGATAAAAGTCATAATAATTCTATTCAAGGATATGAAAGGCACTCAGAAGAAAAACTAAATTCTTTGGAGGCAAAGACCATGTTTTAGTCATCTTTGTCTATCTACTGCCAAACACAGCGGCTCACACCAGTAGCAACTCAATGAATGTTTGTTGAATGACTGAATGAACAAATGAGTATATTCATGGATGACGGATCCTGCGTTACGGGGATACACGTGAGGTTTGGATTCAACGTAAGAAAAAATTCAAGATGACTCTGGCACTGGAATGGGCCACTGAACGAAGTCGCGGATTCTTTATTTCTTTATTGAAATTTACAGTAATAGAATAAACATATATCTTGAATATATTCTCAGAGAAAGCTTAGCACTTCTCTACATGTATGATGATGAAGACAGCTCCCCAGTTTCAAGGGTTCTGCCTGTTAACATTCAGTCGGTTGAAATGTGAAAACCATGAAGGGCAGCTGACGGTGAGATGACTCGCTGGCCTCGACCCTCCTCGGGGCTGCCATGGGAAAGAGGAAGGAGAAATAGTCTGAGCTGCTCCAGAAGAGAGCGAAGACCAGCGAGCCAAACTATAGACGGGGTCCAGGCACTATGCAGACTTTAGCAACCTAAGAAAGAACTTCCTGACAAAGAGACGTGCCCCACAGTGGAAGAGCCGGCCTTCCCAGAGAACGAACCACTGTGGCTGCAAGTGTGGAGCAAGAGTTGGCGTGACTTTTTTTAAGGGTCACATCTAAACACGGTGAGAGATTGAGGATACTCCATCCTTTCCAATCTGAAAAGACACGGTTCCATAAACCTGAAGGTGGTTCTACAAATTTGGTGTTGGTATTAAGCAGATAATGAGTAAACGCTTCCAGTGCCGCAAGGTCTTTCATGGGCACATAACAGGGAAATAGAACATCGTGGGCAGTGTTTCCTGTGGAGGTGTTGCTGACAGAGGTAGACTTCACGCAAGTTGCTCCCCAGGGACAACAGAGAGTGTCTGAGTGTGCAGAGTAAGATCACCTTCCAGCAGAAGGCCAGAACACTCTCAGGTTCTTCGAAGACCAGGATTGGACCTTTCCCTACCTCCCAAGCCACTGCCCCTGTGTACTCTGTTAGCATCTCAAACCTAGCTTTTTTCTACAGCTGCCTCCTAACTAGACAATTTTCTCTAATCTCTTCCCCCCCACCCCATCATCCTCTTGAACACTGCAACTAGATGCCCACCTAAAATCCCTTTGGAACAAATTACTACCTATTCAAAAGCCTACAATGATTCATCCATTTAGGAACATGGATAGAAAAGATTAGAAGGGGCATAATGGCACCAATATCCTTTAAAGTGGTAGGATTATAGATACGCTTGGTTTAAATGCTCCTGGTGTGGTACTAAGAAACTTCTAACATTAAAATCAAGTGCAAAACAAAGACTCCACCCCGTTCCCTTACTACTTAGCATAATACAGACCAAAGCTCCAGCCTAACTTGAAAAGATTCTCCATCAGCTCTCTCAATTTTCCTTCTCTCCTACTACCTCTGCAGTAGAGCTCCGCTAATATTCTATTGTCTAAGTCTCTCCTAACCCTTCATCTTCCTCCTTGTGCCTCACTGCTGCTCTCTCGGTGCCTTTCTCGCTACATTTCCACTCTTCCTCACCTCCAAGACAACTACCACGTGTCGCTTGTGCGTTCACTCAGGCCTCATGTAGGCAAGCCTTGGTGAACAGGGCCTCTGTCTGTACATCGCTGCATCCCTGAATCTAGAATCACAGCTGGCAGATAAAAGGTGTTTACAAACTACCTGTTGAATGAATGATTGTCATTTCTGTGCCTACAGGATTCCACGACATTCTCTCTACTTTTTGAATTTTGATACACGCTGTGGAACTTTATACTGCATTATGCCCACGTTTGCCGGTAGGGCTTTTAAAGTCGAGAGATGGATGTCATCTGTGTCATCTAATTCAATAGCTGCATTCAGTATGGTTCTATTGAATACCTACTGTGTGCCAGGCACTTTAGTAAGCGTTAGGATAGAAATTTAAAATTGCATTTAAGAGACAGTAAAGGCCAAATGGAATATTTCTCTGCTAATTTCTTTGCTACAAAATAAATAAGTATAAAGCCTATAGACTAAATCAAAATAACAGTCAATTTTCAATACTTTTCTTCCAACCTTCTATCAAACCCATCTGAAAAATGTTAAATAAATTAAGACATACAAATTAACCTGAAAGCCAACATTATGCCTGATGAGTAGAAATTGAAAATCTAATATAAATTTTTATTGGTTGAAGTGAACTGATGTTTCATCATTTGCTGTTCCAAGGTCTTAACAGTGACCAGAAGATTGAGAAAATTGTAAAGGCTTCAGGTCTAGTCTCCAGTTTAAGTAATGTTAAGCCTTTTACGCAATATGGATATTTTGGAAGCTGTTACAGGTTACATTTTTTTCAGAACCGGATGCAACAGTCTGGTAAAGAACACAGGTAGAAGAGATCACTAATTTTCCTTTTCCCCCAATAAACTATGTTTATTATGCCAATTTTAATTACCATGCAATCTAATAGATTTAAGGCTTATATTTTCCACATCACTAGACATCACAAACATGAAAGCGTTTTATACTGTCATTATACATCAATGTTCGGAGTTGGTTATTCATATATACAGAAATTATTCACACATCTTAACCTTGCTATTTCCTCCTTTCAAACCAACAGAATTTTACCATGAAAGCAGCTTTTTAAATAAATGGTATAAGAAATACAGCAAGGCACACTTTTTTAAAAAACTTTTTTTTCTCATTACCACCTCAAGAAGCATAAAAAACAAAACATATATAATTTAATAGAATATCACCAGTTTATAATATACAACACCATATAGCTATTTCTTGAAGTGCTGCATAGATTATTTTTAAAATAAAATAAATAAAATGGCGCTTTTAAAAGTTGTTTAATTTGAGAGGAACCAGTACTTCTTCTCTATGCTGCAATCAAATCAAATGCTGGCTTTCGAGGTAAACCTCTTTCAATACACACAGGCGTCACACCAGAACCATATCCATACTGAAACATGAACTTGGTTAAGAACCGGGGGGTGGGGTGGGGGCATTCCAGACAAGTGAATTGCATGGACCATCAATTCGGTGAACTGCAGAAGTTTAAAGAGCAGATGGGGTAGGGAGAGGAGACAAACAGAAGTGGCTGGCAGGAGGGGGTGGGTGGCAGAGGTAGCTTGGGACGGGGGCTCCACGGGAGGAATGAGCAGCTCTGCTCAGCTTCAAAGACGGTCACCTAGGAGAACCGGCGCGCGCATCCGGGTCCCAAGGCTCAGTGGACAGACAGCATCAGGAGGAAGCTTCATCTCGGGAAGTCCATGTAACGTACGGCAGTGACAACGGGATGCAACCGGAGACCAGCCCAGGGCAGGAGGATGGGGCCACCCCTGAGATGCAGCCAGGCTTATCTGCAAGAAATGAAAAAGTGATAAGGAAAGCTTTCAGAAGGATGTTTTTCATTGCAAACTCATGGCCCCTGAGGGATCCACGAAGGCTGGCTTGAGCAGGTGGAGCCATGGTGGGATTATCTGCTAATGGTCTGAAATGAAACTATATGTAAACTGTAAATATCTTCATGATTTTAATAGCTTAAGGTTCACATTACTGACAAAAAAAAACATTTCAGGATACCTGTGGAAAATACACCCTTTTTAAAAAAAGATTTATTTATTTATTTGCAAGTCAGAGTTACACAGAGAGAGGAGAGGGAGAGGGAGAGGGAGAAAGAGAGAGAGAGAGAGAGCTCTTCCATCGGATGGTTCACTCCCCTATTGGCCGCAACAGCTGGAGCTGCACCCATCAGAAGCCAGGAGCCAGGAGCTTCTTCCAGGTCTCCCACATGGGTGTAGGGGCCCAAGCACTTGGGCCATCTTCTACTGCTTTCCCAGGCCATAGCGGAGAGCTGGATAGGAAGAAGAGCAGCTGGGTCTTGAACCAGAACCCATATGGAATGCCAGCACTTCAGGTACTCTTGCACCACAGCACAGGCCCCTACACCCATTTATTTTAAAGACATATTTTCGGGGCCGGCACTGTGGCTCACTTGGTTAATCCTCCACCTGTGGTGCTGCCATCCCATATGGGTGCTGGGTTCTAGTCCCGGTTGCTCCTCTTCCAGTCCAGCTCTCTGCTGTGGCCCAGGAGGGCAGTGGAGGATGGCCCAAGTGCTTGGGCCCCTGCACCTGCGTGACAGACCAGGAAGAAAGCACCTGGCTCCTGGCTTCGGATTGGCACAGCGCCGGCTGTGGCAGCCATTTTGGGGGCGAACCAACGGAAGGAAGACCTTTCTCTCTGTCTCTCTCTCTCTAACTCCGCCTGTCACACACACACACACACACACACACACAAAAGACATAGTTTCAAAGAATGTAAGAAAAATCACTTGAACTTTTCTCCAAAACAAATCCACTCTTTGGACTGTGATTATTTCAGGTCCTCTGATCAGCTCTCAAGAAAAGCAAACTTTGGCTTTTCTGGAATACAGAGCTCCGAAGTCTAGGATCAGGTGGCTTTATTGCCTTTCTAGGACAATGTATTTTCATTCCGTTTCCCTCTCTTTTTCTACAATCTTGCAACTTGTATAGGAGCCACAGGAAGTTGTGGAGAGATGAAAAATTATCAAGAACGGGGAGAGATGGACAGGAACAGATGGAAAGAAATATGGTACAGTAAACAGTGCAGGAACTCAAGAAAGCACAGTGCACTGTTCAAACGCTGAGCCCGTGACTCATCTGAAATCTGGCCATGGAAAAGGGAATCCATAGGTCAGGCAAATTGAGTCCTACTAAGTGCCGACATTTACAGTCTCTCTAGATAATCAGTTCTTTCAACTGGGGCTACTTGGAAATAGGTAGGACAAATTAGCTGAAGCACAGAATTGGGGTGCGTGTGTGTGCATTTGGGGGGGGGGAGAGAGATGCTGCCCCATAAAATCTTTGTTTTTTAACACAGCAGGTCCAGGTTTTCAGAAGTGCTGAAAAATTCAAACACATGAGGCCGGCGCCATAGCGTAGTGCGTAAGGCCGCTGCCTGCAGTGCTAGCATTTCATATGGGCACTGATTCAAGTCCCAGAGGCTCCACTTCTGATCCAGCTCTCTGCTGTGGCCTGGGAAAGCAGCAGAAGATGGCCCAAGTCCTTGCGCTCCTCCACCTGTGTGGGAAACCTGGGAGAAGCTCCCAGCTCCTGGCCATGGATCAGCCCAGCTGTAGCCATTGTGGCCATGTGGGGATTGAACCATTGGATGGAAGACCTCTCTCTCTCTGCACTCTTTCAAATAAAATAACTAAATCTTAAAAAATAATTCAAACATACTTGACAGTCTGAACCTTGATTTACTAGTGATTTTAAGGTAAATTTTTAAAGATTATACCTAGATTTTCTAATGAAAAATTAACACACTATCACCACAGGTAGTTTCTTAAACCTGCTTGGTCAGCTTTGGACAATATCAAACACTTAGTGTCAAGCCAGTTAATAGAATGAGAATTTGCATTGCTTATATGATAAATGTTTGCCCTTAGTTTTCTCTGTAAAAACTGAGCAGTAGCACTTTTAACTGTGTATGTATGCACTTTAGCATGCACAAATACAAGTAATTGTGTGAAATCTAAAATCTATAGGCCACCAACTATCACATTTACAGACCAATAAAGTAGGAAAGGCAATGAAATTAAGAGGTTCCAAAGGAAATGTATGCATTCTAAGTAAACACAGCCTCCAACCTTACCCCCAACACACACACCCACACCCACACCCACACACATATACATGCACACAGTCACACCAAACCCCAAACCCAAAGGGAAAAAGGCATAACCAAAAGGGAAAAACACATACACAGGTGGCATCTGATGAGTTAAATTTTTATGCCACGGGATTTTTCCAGCCTGAAGTTTAGGGTTAAACCATTCATCAAAGATCAGAGGCTTATGATGAGGATTATGAAGAAATAACTGTCAGAATACAGCAGAAAGATTAGTGCAAAGTGCATCTCTTAGGCAGGTCCGAGAAGGCACTCCAGACATGCATTAGATGCTTCCTCCAAATTACGCAGAAAGAGCCCCGTCTCTCCACTTCCCTTCCCTTTGATGTGATTTGCTGTAACTGACCTCTCTATTTTTATAGAAACATGACACACAAATGAAGAAGTGAAAAGCACAGCAGTGAGCCTGGAGGTTGGTGCAAATGCATACTGTTAGATCACGCTAAAGCTTCTCAAGCAGTTCCAGTGGGCTTTTAATTAGAACACAGTAAATAATAATAATAAAAAAACCCAGCTTTTCAAAAAATTTTGTGACTGTGGCATACTGCATCTCTTATTCTACGTTATATCCTTTCTGGATGGCCTTATAATCACACCATCATCTGAGAACGTACTTATGGGAAACAATGGACGCTGGTGAATTTTACTGTCCTGATTTAAAAAAAAAAAAAAGCACTGCACCCTAGCTGACGATTTTCAAATGTCTTCAAAAGGTCAAGCTTTTCCTTTTGCTTTTTTGAATCTTCTAGAAGAACAATGACAACAGTTGAGTTTTTCCAGACACTAAACCTCATATTTTGCACCCAATTTTATGATATATTCCTAACATAAACTACTGAAGGCATGTCCACATTTTGAGATCAAATAACTTGTCCTGGTTGCTAGTACTTTAAAGCAGGTGACCATTAACACCCAGGTACCCAACGCTAATGACTGGAGAAAAGTTCAGGCGTCCACAAGATACTGGAAAACAACTAGAACAACAACTGCGTGGGACCAGCAAACATGGCTGTTCAAACGGCTCTACGCTGACAAGGAGTCACTTGGGGGCGATGTGAGTTCTGCTGAAGTAAAATCTGGCTGCTGCTTCGCCCAGCGTAGGGCCAGCCATGGCAGAGGCGCCACAAAATCTTGGTGACTGGCAGGTGGGCTGGCTGACAGTTTTACACTGTCTCTGCGTGTAAAATGTGAGGGCTACACAGATCCCTTAGCGCATGCGCTTCCCCCACGTCCAGAGATGGAGCCACTCAGCGTTCACATGTCTTGACGATTCTGTGTCTACGGAAGAGGGAGAAGAGATTTCCAGAGGACCAGAAAGGGCTGGTGCTCCCCCGGAGGCTTCTCCAGGGCCAGAGTTTCCGCAGCTCCAGACCTCGGCACGACTGCTGACTTGAGGGTCAGAGCCGCGTGATGTCATGTTCAGAGTGGTGTTGCTTGCAAGCCTTTATCCCCTTTTGGAAAACAAAATCAGCCAGGCTCCACCAGCCTTGCTGCGGAGGTTGGCAGCGCCAGCGGTACAATTGGTTCTAATAGGACTTGTTTTGACGCAGCTTCTGGAGTGCCAGTTATTTTCCCTTAATGGTCAGTTTTACCGCATACTGAAGGAGCCTGTGATTACAGGGCCGACACGAGCCGCGAAAAGTACATTTGTCTCTCTCCGACTTTTGTCCTCACTTGCAGCCAATTGTAAACAGAGTCGGAAACATGGAAAATTAGTTGAGCTATATTAGTAAGAAGGATGCATTTCTTCCATTTTGCATACTGAGTTTATTTTTAGGGTATATGTATGGTATAGATTCCCCCCCACACTCCCCGTTTCTAGCAGCTCTACACAGAATCACACATTTTAATGAGCTTAGGGCACAGGTGTTGCAGGGAAAAAAATAATGATGTTTGCCATTCATCTTTCAAATTAAATAATGTGTTTTTAAATAGTAACTTTTTTTATAATACATTATGGGAACAACATTTATCTGTCACATTTTAAAAGATGTATTTGTAATAAATGTAAATTACTTTTAGAAAATCAGTAATTAGGCTCATCAAAAAATAAACAATCTGCCACAAAAAAGATAATCTTTAGCATAGTTAAGTATAATAACTGTTATTTGAATAAGTTAACAAATTAGGGTAGATTGCTTCTGTAATTCATTTCCTATAGCACGAGTTTAGGTTACCGCATTAAGCTGCCGGAGTGGGGGGGGGGGCGGGTGTGGGATGGCACTTGGCACCTCACACTTTGGTGAAATATGACTTCCACATTTGAAAGCTCCGCTCTCCTTCTTTAAACTTGATAGAGCAAGCATATTCACCACTGGGGCTTAGAGATGGGAAACAGCAGAATCTCGGTGTCACTTCTAGAGCTACGTCATCATCTCAGGATTATCAATCAATAGCTGTCTTATTAAATATGAAGAGGGGAATGACTTTCTTAAAAAATTTGATGGAAATCAGCCTGTCGCTTTCAGGCAAAATTCAAAAATTCTGTTTTTATCAAGGCGCTATTAGCTTGTCATGGATTCTCTCTACATTTGCTTTCTACGCCTGTTCCCCATCTGTGTGTGGATAAATAAGAGCCTCTTCTTTAACATCAACTTTCCCATCCTGTGAGGATCCTCAGCCCTGGCCGTGGTTAGGAGCTGTGACAGCACAGCCTTCTGCTGGGGAAGAAAATGTGAAGATAGTTACCTAGGACAGAAGCATCAAAGGACCACCCAAATTGGGAGATGCAGCCTTTAGCCCAAACACTGACCATCTCTGGGCCCTGCAGGGAGTGAGGCAGCTCTGCCCGGGAAACAGAAATGGGGTGCATTGTTCCTTGCATGCATTTTTTTTTTTTTTTTTACAGGCAGAGTTAGACAGTGAGAGACAGAGAGAAAGGTCTTCCCTTCCGTTGGTTCACTCCCCAAATGGCTGCTATGGCCGGCGCTGTAGCGATCTGAAGCCAGGAGCCAGGTGCTTCCTCCTGGTCTCTCATGCGGGTGCAGGGCCCAAGGACTTGGGCCATCCTCCACTGCCCTCCTGGGCCACAGCAGAGAGCTGGACTGGAAGAGGAGCAACCAGGAGAGAACCGGCCCCCCAACAGGGACTAGAACTCAGTATGCCGGCGCCACAGGTGGAGGATTAGCTTAGTGAGCCGTGGCGCCGGCCCCTGTGCATGCATTTTGATCATGGGGTATAGGTGCACATGGATAACCTTTTTTTCTCCCTCAATGGAAGAAACTAAAACCCAAAACATCGTTCAGTTATTTCCTTAAATTTTGTATTCTTCTTACCAGAATGATGTATTAAAGACAATGTCACTAAACTCAATTTTCATTGTTTCTCCCCCACTTCACGTCACACTTACTTTCATTGTGGAGAGCATTCCTTCTACCTAAAATTCTTACCTACATACACTCCTGTGACGCCAGTCATTCTGACTCCTTTTTCCTTTCTATCATGAGTCATGAGTTTGTTAAGTCAAACCTCAATTTTCAAGTACATATAAATGGTGTTGGGACTCTACATACCTTTCGTGAGATGATTTTCATGCTGGGGGCACACATTCTATCTATGCATATTTCTGTGTCGTTCTTCATGAAGGTTGATAAGCTTTTCTTTACAGGTTAAAGCTTTGGGGCTGGGAGGCAAAGCAGCCTTGTCTTTTGTCTGGTGTTCTTGCAAGGAGAGGTCTCCAACTTCAGATCTGGCTGCCGTGGCATCACGTTCTTCTAGCGTTCCAGATGCACTTGCTTTTCCTGCACTCTCCTTTGCATCACCTCGTCCTGAAGAAGTCAGCTCTGAGCTTTCTGTGTCGCTTTTGGAAGTTTGGGGTAAACCATCCACTTCCTTTCTGACACTCATTTCTTTCTGAGGGGGAGACCTTGAAAGAGCCAACGTGTCTGCACCATCAGCTAAGAGACAAGGATCCCTGGTCTTAGAAGAGCTTGCTGGAGCTTGTAGGGGCCCTGCAGCTTTCTCAGGAACTGGGGATTCACTGGGAGGAGCACTTGAGAAACAGGGCTCCTCTCGATCATGGTCATCCTCAACACAGGCCTCAAAGAAACATTCAATGTCTTCCTTTTCATCTAAGCCGGAGTCTGTAGTGTCCAGCGGCAATGGAGTGTTGCTTTTCTCGTCTACGTAGTTGGTGACCTCCCCACAATCGCTGTCATGAGATGAGAGAGACAAGTAGGAATAAAAGTCTCCTTTTCTCAGCTGGAGGGGTCGGTGAGAATGCTCCAACACCTTCTCCTTGATCTGAGTTAATGAAGTGGGAGCAGCCACCTCGTTTTCAGGTTGGGATTTACTTTTTAGGGCCGTAGAAGCCATGCCAATGATTTCCTTCACAAAGTCATGTACTGAGCAGTCTTCAGCCTCTTTTTGATGGAAAACATCTGTCTCACAGTTGCAACAGGAAGTGCCATCGCTGATAGAAGCATTTTCTTCAGTATCGTTTTGTTCAAGTGCAAGGCAGCAGCCAGCAGATTTTGCAGCCGAACTTGATGTGTCATTAGATGAAGATTTTGGAACATCACAGTCTTGTCTGTTGTTAACTCTGCTTTCTAAAGCTAGTCCTGGACAAGACTGCTCCGTAGGAGTGGAATCAGCGCTTTGATTTTCAAAATGGTGGTGATCTTGACATTTCTTTGAAAGATGGCTGACAGTTTGGGGAACAAAGTCCTTTCCGGCAACACTTGAACCACCTGAACTATCCATTAATGCTGAACACTTACAGGGTTCACTCTCTGAGATCCTTTCCTCATTGGAACCAAGATTTTCTGATACCTTTGCAATCCCATTCAGTTTGCCCTTTTGCCTTTCTGGAGTGCTTTCAATGTTGCCATTTTCCATATCTGCCACATATGGGTCTTTATTAACTTTGAAAATGTTTTTCTTATTTTCACCCTTTGTCCCTAACTCACAGGTATGGGGTGCGTTCTTAGCATTTCCATTATTTTCAGAGAGATGTTTTATGGAGCCATTCAGGAGGGCCTCAATGTTCAGGGTATCAGAGGGATTGGTCATCTCACTGCTGCTCACGTCTTTACTGCCCTTCATTTCATCACTGACATTACACCGTTTCTTATCTCTTGCCAAGGACAATTTAGGTCTAATCCAGGTCTGCAGTTCGTTCTTTATGTAGTCCAGCCCTGACATCAAGTTGCAGTCTTCATAAATTTCATCATCTGTGGCGATGCTGGAGTCGTCATCTTCATCTTTGATACACAGCTCTTCTTCCGTCAAGGTGAGTGTAGAGCTGGAGAGGAGGTCGCTGTCGTCTTCGTCGTCCGTGCAAGCCGAAGTGCAAGAGACGTTAACGATCATGCTGACATTGACATCACTTTCATCAGCCACCGAGCGGTTCAGGCGCTTCCTGAATGATGCATTCGACTCTGGGATCTTGTTCTTGTGCAACACAATGTCCTCTGAGCAAAGAGAGAGCTCATCACTGCTGCTCAGCTCTGTGAGAGACGCCGCCGAGTCTTCGTTGATGGAAGAGGCCATGTCCAGGGACGTCTGGCCAGTGAAGGACATCTTGTGGGAACTGCTCTGGAGAGTGATGTCAGAGACGCTTCGCTTCATCTTTTGCTCCGAGGGGCTCTGGATATTCTCCAAACGATTCAGGAGATCCAATGTCCTTTTACTCAGCTCACCAACTGAACCACTGCTCACACTTAGGTCCCCAGAGCTATGGCAGCTGAAAAGATCTTCATTGCTTTTATAGGATGTCAACCAACTTTCTAACGAAGTGCTTCGCTGGAGGCCGTCACTGCCAGTTTTAAAGATGCTCAATCCAAATAAATCCCCCCCTGGTGAAACGGACTCAATAGATGAACTGCGAGACACAAGGGAGAGCTGTTTGGCATTGTGCATGCCCGTGAGTGTCTTCTCTAGTTCACCACTTTTATACAAATTGCGATCCATTTCATGGGATGCACTTCCCAAGATCCTTCCATGGGGAGGTGCATCTGATTGTAACTCTGTAGCCTGATGTTTAGATTTGCAGGATTTTTTATCAAAATAAAAACCACGAAGAAGGGGATCTTCCACATGTGCTTTTTCACTTTGTGACTGTTTCATTATCATTGGTAATTTGAGTTTTGAGCCTTGGAGGTATGAGTAATCATAAAATGTAAACACATCATGTTTTCCTTGTAATTCTTCTCCCAAACAATCAGGGGTATGTTTGGTAACACTGTTTAAATCTCCAACTTTTCCATTTACACAACCCACTGGTGAAATGGATGACTGAGAGCTATTTGGAAGTTTAATGCATCCCTCCTCATCTTTAAATTTTTGCTTTAACACGTTAACTGCATCTCCCATTTGTGGGTCCAGATGTTCAGTTTCAGGGTTACTGGGGGACCTATCTACTGCATTGAGCAAACACATTTCAGAGTTGGTTGTGGTTTCAGTGTCTCCTTCACTGACGATTCCACTCTCACTGCCTGAATTCTGACTCATGTCTCCTCCATAGCATGAGCAGGGCTTTACCAAGTTGGAGCCCCCTAGAAGATCTGGCAAAGATTTGGTGGATGAAAATGAGGAGTCTTTGCTGAGACTCTTGGTTAAAACACTGGGCTGTGTCATGCCAGCGAACTTCGGGTTGTTCTTCAGAAATGGCACGTGGCTGTCCGCGTAGAGTTCAACATTGTGTAGGCTATACACCTGGTAAATGTGTGGACTGGAGGGGGCGGTGACATTGGTGGCATACTGAGATCCCCCGTGGTCACCTGCCTCCTCTTCATAACCAGGGTCCTCACTACTTGTCTCTTCAAGCTTCAAGGAAGGCAGGACAGGTTGGGGTTCTTGGTCAAGGTCATTTGAGTCTTCATTCAAACTAATTAGCTGGTTGCTTATGTCCATTTCATCCCATTCCAGGGCATCCTCACTCATGCCATTTAGGTCCATCAGGCCAGGATCAATCACATTCAGAACTTCCTGTGCAGGAGAAGGGGTGGGGAAAGAAGAGGAATTAAAGAACATAAACAGGATCATTTTATCCATTCAAAATCTTTTGGAAAGGTTGGCAAAGGAAACTGCCTGAAGCATGGATCTAAAAGACAGCACAATTACCAACTCCATTGCTCTCTGGATTAACATCCAAAATTTATTGAAACCAGCTTTTGTATCAATAGTAATTTGTCACTGAAGGGAATAACATAGATTAAAAAGCAAGATAATTGCAATCAAATTGTAGTTTCTGGAATTAACCATTTCTCATTGATTCTTCTACATTTTAAATGTTTGGGTGAAGATAAAACTGTCAGGCAGACGAACGTAAAAAGCATGGTCTATGACATCACTTGAGAAGCATTCAGCGTCAACACTATTTAGTTCTGGAGTCCAGAATCAAATAATTCTTGAAGCCAAACATGGCCAGCTCCCTCTTGCCCCTATTTTTGAATTCTCCACTTGAAACAGCTTTTGCCTAGGGACTTTAGCTACCACGGAGAACCATCCACTGGCCAGAGGCTACTGACTGTGGCATGTACTCGTCCTCATGCCTTCTCTTCAGGTTTCTGTCTCTGCAGATCTTGGCCCCCCTCCCATTCACAACCAAGATGAGTAACACTTCACTGGTTCCTTCATCTATGTCTTCCTGGACCCTGAGTGCTTCGGGGTTGTTCCTTAATCAGAGTCTCGTGGTCCCTCTCTTCCTCAGTCTCTCTCTAGGACAGAGGAGTCACTTTGATCATGGCTTACAGATGGCACTGCTATCAGTCTTACCTCTGTTTCTTACCATCAAAATTTCCCCTTTAAGCTCACCTCCAGCCCCAGAATGATAACTATCTAAAGACTTCCCTGATTCCCGAGTAACCCAGATTCCCTTTGGTGCTGTCTGCTCACGTGGATGCTTGATTTTTTTTGATTTCTGATTTTCCCCATTTAGGGAGAGCTTGATACATTCAGGGACGCAGGAGCTGGGTGGGCTCCTGGACTCTGGCTAGATTCCTCCCCCATCCCTACTTACTATTAGTGGTCTAGATTTGTGCTAGATGCAGGGAAGGTGGTAGGTCCTGACAGGCTCACTCATAGAAAGAGACACAATCCAAAGCCTTCAGTTCATCTTGTGCAGGTGGATGAGCATAGCTCTAGAGATAGCAGAATAGCTCAAGAGCTGACCAACTGCCTGACCTTGAGCAAGTGACTTGTCTTTTCTGAGCACCAGCCCCGTCACCTGTAAAAGGGGGATGGTACTGCTACCCTTGAAGATCACCGTGCGTACTCAATGAGCTGATGAGTGCGAAGTGCTCAGGAGGCGGTGTCCGGTAGTTATAATTCTGAATGTGTGCAGAATTGCTCTGGAGTGGTCTTGAGTCAATTCATAACAGTTCCCACTGCCTATCTCCTTCCCTCCTTCTCATCATTCCTTCCAATTTGCTATCAAAACTGAAGAGGATTCATGGCATGCTAGGTAGAGTGTTGCCACATGGGATAACAGGTCAGCATTTTCGCATTACAAGTCGGAATTATGAAGCGTCTGGTGGAAAATCAGGCCACGATGCTTTTATTCCTCAGTAGTGAGGAAAATCTTCACCTGCAGCACATTAGCAGAACTGTCCTAAGAAGCCCTCAATCCTTCCTAAGACTAATAGTTAAAGGATACCGCACAAACACATTAAGTATAAAATATCCATTAGCACTTTATTATCCTGGATATGTAAGAGATTATCTGTATAGCCTACTTAAGTTTAAAAGAGTCTGGTTACAAAGTAAACATTAATTAAGGGATATTTTTACATTTTCTAACAGAAATCTTTCCTGCTGCCAATGTTACAGCAGTTAATCTAGTACACTGGCAGTCATCGCAATTGCTTAGGTATGGAGGACATCTACTGTGATGAATTTTTATTAGAATTTCTGTTTATTCTTTGCTTGCTGATAAAGGAAGTACTAATGACCGATTTGTATGGCCAATGAATGTTAAAATCTTCAGCTGTAGGTACAATCAATCAGTCTGATCAAATGGTATATTAATTTCAAATGCTATCTTGGCTGTCAATGGACTCTGAAAATGCTAACGAATAATTGAACAAGTCTTTCCAAGGTGCTCTTCATACCTCGCTGGTTGACTTTAACATTCAGTAACACAGGGTTCTCACAAAGGTCCCAAAGCTCTGTGCTCACACACAGATGAAAGAATTATGCTATCTGGATGCAGCTGGCAGCTAAGCCAAAAGGATTCCTGCAACTTGGACTGGTATTCCATGACATCATCATCATCAAATGTTGCCTATATGGTTTTAAACATTCAAGCCTAAGGTTGTATAAAACTTAACAGCAGCTGGGGCCAGCGCTGTGGCATAGTAAGTCAAGCTGCCACAGGCATCCTATATGGGCACCAGTTCAAGTCCTGGCTGCTCCTCTTCTGATCCAACTCTCTGCTAATGTGCCTGAGAAAAGCAGTGGAAGATGGCCCAAATGCTTGGGCCCCTGCACTCATGTGGCAGACCCGGAAGAAGCTCTTGGCTCCTGGATTTGGATCAACCCAACTCTGGCTGGTACAGCCATGTGGGGAATGAACCAGCTGATGAAAGATTCTCTCTCTCTCTCTCTCTCTTTCTCTCTGTCTCCCTCTCTCTCTTCTGTAACTCTGAGTCTCAGATAAACTAAATAAATCCTAAATCAAAACAAAACAAAACAAAAAAAACTTACAGCAGAACATAAGGAACAAAATCCTTTGTTAAGTAAAGTAGTAAGACTAAACTTTGGGATGTAATATTGCCACTTTCAAGCCCCCTCAGCCTATGGAAGTTTTAAATATATTGTGATTTTTGAACATTTTTTTCTATGTCAATTTCAGAGGTGATCTAACAGGATCCACTAGGAAATTTTCAGTGGAAGCTTCAATTTGTTTCATTTTGAAGAACTGGTACTAACTGTTCTCACTCCCTTCCTGGTAAGGATTAAATTCTATCAGCATTTTCAATAAAATCTCCATTTCCTCAGGATTCAAGCTCAACCATAAAAGTCACTCCTGGATGGGCAGTGTGGTGCAGTCAGTTGAGCTGCACGTGGGACATGTGCCTCCCATGTGGGTGTGCCAGTTCACGTCCTGGCTGCTCTGCTTCCAATCCAGCTTCATGCTAATGCACCTGGGAGGCAACAGATACCGTCCAAGGAGTTGGGTTCCTGTCACCCATATGGGAGACTTGGAAGGTACTACTGGCTCCTGGTTTCGGCCAGGCCCTGTCCCGGATGTTGGGGGAATGAACCAGCAGGTAGAAGATATATCTCTCTGTGTGTGTCTCTCCCTAACTGTTATTCTGCCTTTCAAATAAATAAAGATCATTAGGAAAGAATAATTCCCCTGAGTCAAGAAAGTAGGAGAAGTTTCCAAGAGGAAGGACATTAGAATATTTATAAAACTAAACAACATGGCCTTTGGGGAAAAAAAAGATTTGTATATACAGAGATGTAAGGGATGGGAAATTTTTGGGTTAAGCGTTCTCTCTGAACATAGCCCAGCAAGGCCAACAATGCTCAAGTTAGTTAGGCATTTGTTTTTATTTCAGTTGTTTTCCTAGAAGATTGTATGGTACTTTTTTTTTTTTAAAAGTCACAAATGTTTCTGCATTTGATAAAGTGACCAATCTAAATGAATTTAGGCAACAGCTCAGATATTTGAATGAAATCAAAAGGAGTAGCAAATTGAGTTCAAATAGAGTGTCCTTAGTTCCAACAATAATTCTGAATTAAATTGACTTGTGCTGGGATCTTTCATTCATTAACTTGCTTCATGGGTATAGATTTTTGACCTAAACCAAGGGTCCTACATATTTACACACATACAAAGACACATATATTTAAACAGAGCTGCTCAAGAAATAGAAATAAAATTAATCAACTTTATTTGAGAGAGGGAGGGAGTGAAAGGGAAGGAGAGAGCTCTCATCTGCTAGTTCACTCAAATCAACAGCCTGCCTAGGTCAGAGCCAAGAATTCAGAATTCAATCCAGGTCTCTTATGTGGGTGTCAGTGATCCAGTTACCTCAGCCATCATGTTCTGACACCCAAGGTCTGGTTTCACAGGAACCTGGAGGCAAGAACTGAACCCAGGTACTTCCAAATGAGACATGGGCATCTTAACTATTAGGTCAAATGCTTGCCCCTATTTTATTACTTTTTTTCTTGGAAGAAGAATATATATGGCCACAATATATACAAATAACAAGGTAGTAGCAAAGTGGTTGGAGACGTGATGATGGTGATGAAGCAGAAGAGGCAGAGGCAGCAGCAGCAGAAGGTGATGATGACAAGGATGAGGAGGAAGAGAAGGTCAAGCACTGAACAAGAGGAAGACAAAGAAGAATGAATGAATGAATTAGGAGTCCAATTGCAGCAAGCAATATATATATGAATTAATATATCCTGTACTTGCATGGCTTTAATTGAATTAGGTTTCCTAAGATTGCATTTTCAGGATTTTCTTAAAATTTTAGGTTGAATAATAACTTTATAAGAGATGACAAACACACTATTGGGTAGAGGTAAAGGAATCTGTCATTCTACAAAACAACCACCGAACAGAGATCCCACACAGCTTCTTCTGGATTCCTTTAACTTCCTTAAATCGTTGAAACTTCGGGCCGGCACGGTGGTACAGCATGTTAAGCTGCTGCCTACGATGCCAGCATCCCATAAAATTGCTGGTTCAAGTTCCAGCTGCTCCATTTCTGAGCCAGCTCCCTGCTACTGTACCTGGGAGAGCAGTGGATGATGACCAGAGTGCTTGGGTCCCTGCCACCCATGTGGGAGACCCACATGGAGTTCCGGGCTCCTGACTTTGGCCTGGCTCAGCCCTGGCTGTGTGATTATTTGAGGAGTGAACCTGCTGATGAAAGATCTTGCTGTCTCCCTGTCTCTCCCTCTAACTCTGTCTTTCAAATAAATAAATCAATCTAAAAAAAAAAGTTGCAACTTTGAAAAGGCTTTTC